CCCATACTGGGAATTGGAGCCTGGCACTGGGTGCTGGAGCCCCCCCATCAACCCCATACTGGGCACTGGAGCCTGGCACTGGGAGCTGGAGCTCCCCCTTTAACCCCATACTGGGAGCTGGAGCCCGGTACTGGGAACTGGAGCCCCCTCTCTAAGCCCATACTGGGAATTGGAGCCTGGCACTGGGAGCTGGAGCCCCCCCATCAACCCCATACTGGGAATTGGAGCCTGGAACTGGGAGCTGGAGCCCCCTTTTGACCCTATACTGGAGCCTGACACTGGGTGCTGGAGCCCCCCAGTTAAGCCCATACTGGGTATGGGAACCCCACTGGGTGCTGGAGCCCCCCCTGGGCACTGGGGGGGGGGATGAGCTGACCCAGAGGGAGGTGTCACATCCCCTAGTTGGTGGCAGCCCCGGGGGGACCTGGTTGGGTGGGACAGGAAAGGTGTCCCCCCCCCCCAGGGGCAGTGACCCCCCTTCCCGAGGTCCCACGACCCCGGGGGCCCCGGAGCTGAGGGACAGAGGGACCTTGTGTTGGTGGCTTTTTGGCCCCCCCCCCCCCAAGGCTCCACGGGTGGCAGAGCCTGGTGGCAGGTCCCCAAGCTGGCAGTGTCCCCAAGCCAGCCTCATCCCAGCGTCCCTGGGTGACCTTGGCATGTCCTTGTCCTCATTGTCCTTCCTCCCCATCCTCCTCCTCCTCCAGGGAGGGTTGGGGGCAGCAGGGCTGGGTGGCCAGGGCTTGGTGGCCCTGGGGACAGTGGCAATCCCTGGGCACTGCCACCTCAAGTGACATCCTCATGGTCCCCAAAACCCACCGTGGGCTGGTCCCACGTGTGTGTGTGTGTGTGTGTGTGTGTCCCCTCACCTCTGGAGGTGCCACCAAGCTCTTCTCCTGGTGACCCCACGTCCAGCACGGGCAGCTCTGGTGTCCCATGGTCACACACACAGCCTTGGTGGCCACCCCAGAGAGGTTTGCAAGCCCCAGGGGCTTCCAGCAGCTGGTGGCAGCAGGATGGTGGGCACTGGGAATGAGAGAGCACCAGGACTGGCCTGGGGAAGGTGACCTCGTCGGGATGGTGGCACCAGGAGTGGCCTGGCTGGGATGGCTCTGCTGGAATGGTGGCTCTGGGACCTGCCTCAGCAGGATGGTGGCACCTGGAAATAGCCTGGCTGGGATGGTGACACTGGGACTGGCTGGCACTGGGGTGGCCTCACCCAAGGCAGCACCAGGATGAACCTCGCTGACCAGACTTGACTGGGATGGTGGCACCAGGATGAGCCTGCTGGGATGACACTGGAGCTGGCCTTGCTGAGACTGGGATGGCACCAGGATGGGTCTCTTTGGGACTGGCATCTCCAAGACCCTGCTGGGACACGTCTTGCCTGGACTGGGACGATGCTGGGATGCCTTCCTTGGGATGGTGGCACCAGGACACTGCTGGGATGGCACCACTGGGACTGATCTTGCTGGAATGGCCTCACCAAGGATGGCATCAGGAAGGCACTGGGGTGGCCTCCCCAACACCTGGGACCTGTCCCTGTGCCCACCCAAGCACCCCATTCAGGCCTGGGGGGTCCCCAGCCCACCCTGGTGCTCCCAGAGGGAGGTGGGGATGGAGGTTGGAGACCTCCAGGCTTGCCCGTGCACCAGCTCCTGCCCTTCCCTCCAGCTCCCAAAGCCACCAGGTGCCTCCATCCCTTTGGAGGTCACCAAAAAAACCCTGAGGCCTCCAGGAGCTCCATGGTTGCCTGGTCAGAGTGGAAAGGGGAAAAAAAAGGGAAAAAACCCACCCAGGAAGGGGGAAGAGGGTTTGTGCTCAGCCTTCATTAGCCATCAGAGAAGCCACCACCCGGCTGCCCCACCTCCCAGGAAATCCCAGGGGGATTTGCCCAGCCTGCAGTGGTGTGACACACACACACACACACACACTGAACACACACACACTGAACACACACACACACACATACACACTGAACACACAGACACACACAGAACACACACACACACCACACAAACACACACACACACACACTGAACACACTCACTCTCCCCTTCCCTCCTTGCAGAGCTCCTACCCCATCTGGGAGGACTTCAACTCCAAGGCCACCAAGCTGCACTCCCAGCTCAGGTGAGTGGCTGAGGAGGGGGACACAGGCGACCACCCCCCACCCCACCCCAACTTCCCTATGGGCACATCAAGGGGTTCCCAGTGCCCTCTGAGCTCCCCCTTTGCTCTCCCTGCCCCAGGACCACGGTGCTGGCCGCAGTTGCCTTCCTGGATGCCTTCCAGAAAGTGGCTGACATGGCCACCAACACCAGAGGTAGGGTCTTCCCTGTCCCCACAGGTGTCCCCACAGGTGTCCCCACAGGTGTCCCCCTGCCCACCTGGCTGGGGTGGGCTCCTTCTCCACCCGTGGGAAGCTGGGGGGGGGGGATGGTGGGAAGATAGGGAGCAGGTGAGGTGGGTGCTGCTCCTCACCACCTCACCTGGCATCTCCTGGTGGGGCTGGTTTGGGGTGAAGGACCCCCCCTCGTGCTGTGCTCTCCTGCACCCACCTCTGCTCCCCACCCCCTGGCTGCACCCAGATGTGGGGCTGGGCCACCCCCTCGTCCCCTACTCCCCTCCCTGGGGTGGGATGGAAGAGGTTGCCCTGGGGATGGAGGATTAGATGGAGGGAGAAGATGCAGGAGGAGAAACCCACCTTCTGAGGACAATCCCACCCCACCTGGGGAGGTGGTGATGGGGGTGTCGGTGGGGCTGGTTTTTGGGGTGAACCTTCTTGGGGGACCTGCTGGTGGCCAAGAGTCACTTCCCCACCGCTCAGCTTCTGCCGAGCAGATGGTCCTGGGCTGGTTTGCAGACTGGAGGCATCCAGACCATCTGGAGATGCCTGGGGAGGAGGAGGGGGAGGGGGGGGAGGGGGAGGAGGGGGGGGGG